CTACCACCCTGTCTCACATTTTCCTCGGCTCCCTCTGTCTTCTCCTCCTCTCTGTCCTCCCCCTGCATTCCTGTGCTGTGACAGACCTGCTGATGCGTGCTGGGAGCGGCGGCAGCCACGCTGTGCTCACCATCTGGGCCGGGCAGCTCCCGCAGCCTCCTGGAGTCTCCAGATCCTCGCTGACGGCTGGAACACGGCCACCATCGCCTCCAGCTTCCCGCCTTTCTCCACCTGAGCTGCCTCTCTCTTGGCCACAGACTCCTGCACCTACACAAGGTCTGCCCAGCTGAGGAAAGCTTCTAAGGTTCCCCCATCTCAGGGCTCAAACCCTTCAGCTGGAAAGCCCCATCCCAATGGATTTACTCCTTCATCCCCTTCCTCTGCTCCACGTAGAACCAGAGAGGAAGCAAGAAAAATATGAGAATGTGGAAGCTTTCAATGCAAGTGCTCACCACTTTGAACCCTTTTCTTTCTGCTACTGAAATACATTTCAGGGTGCAGACTTTAGAGACATTTCTGCTCAGTATTTCCAAGCCAAATTTATTTATTCTCTATCTTTGCTGGCTGTTTTGTCCCTGAAACAATCACCCCCACACACTGTGACTACTTGGAGAGCTGTGAGGGGTCTCTTGCTGGCTCCATGGATGCTGTCTCACGTCTCTTCCAACCCAAGGCATTCTATGGCTCTGTGATTGAGCCTCCTCTGACTTCATCCTTGCCTGGACAGGAGGGATAGTGATCTAGCTATAGTTGAATACTGATATGATTCAAATGAAATTGAGAAAAGCAGCCCAAAGAGGGGATTTACTGGGTGTAAAGGCTCAGGCTGACTCAGAGGATGAAAAACTGGTAAAAAATCAGTGAACCATTTAAAACATCCTGCTCTCAATCCAAAACCTGTGCTTCCTTTGGTTTTTTTTGTATGTTTCTATTCCTCACCCTTTAAGTGTTGCTAGTCCTCCTTGCTCCTGAAAACACAGGATAAAGCAGCATCTGAGGAGCTGGTTAAGTAGGGAGCTCTGCATATCCAAAGTTCAGCTAGTGAAAAATAACCATCTGGTGAGCATGTACATCCCTGCTCCTGGATAAGCTGAGGATGAATCTCCTAATGGGAGCCACGGTGCCCTGCCTGAGAGCAAGGAGTTACCAGGGTAAAGAGAATTACATAAGAGCAAGATCTGCACTTAGACATCACTAACTAGATGTAATCTTTGCACTCAAGCTGAGGTAATTCTGCTGCAGCAAAAAACCACTCTATGCCAGCAGAAAATAATTAGGTTTTTGTCTTTTTTTTTGCTTACCTGAAGCACAATTTTGTGTCGCTGAGGCTCCCCAGCTACTACACGCAACAAATGTGCTCCTGTGGAATGTTTCAATGCTTGCTTTCTAATTATAGCTTTGGGTATCATTTGATTTGGTATAAACAGGGTGAATCAGAACAGAAATATCAGGGAGGGTTGAGGGAAAGGCCTTTTACTAACAGCGAGCATCAGGACTGAAAAAAATCAAGGCATCTTGTAAGGCAAAGCTCTCAAAGTGTTTCACAGGAGACAGCGGCAAATTGCAACTCAGGGTTGCGCCAAAAAAACCCCTAAATTTATAAATTCTTTGTAGGAAAGGAAGGGAACTTCCCAGCCATCTGCCTCGCTGGCTGCCTGCAAGGCTCACACCTCGCAGGCACAAAGGGTTCCAGGCTGCTGGGGCAGCTCCAGGCTGGCAAGGATGGGAAGCAACGGGGCTCTGAGCTGGATAATCCCGCAAAATCACAGCATTTGTGCACGTTGCTTGGGTTTTATCAAATCTGTGAGCTCTGACAAGGAGATTTACTATCAGTTCTGGCTCTGGAGGAACAGGAAGAAAGGAGATTGGAGTTAGGATGGCTAAGGAAGGTGGGAGTTACAAGAACAGGGATTTATGGTGTTTGAAAAGCGGGGAGAAGAGAAAGCTGAACACACATCTATGTGCAAATGATATTTTTATCTCATGGTTCTGCCGTGGGTTTATTGTGAGACACAAGGGGCAGTTGTACAACTCTGTGTGAAGGCGCACGAGCTGCAAGGCCTGAGCAAACCCAGCTCTGCAAAGGAAGGTTCCCAAAATAACAGCTTCAGCTGTCAAATGAGTATGACTGTTCCAAATTCCTTCCTAGGGAGTTAAAATTTCTCCTTAAACTGGTGAAAGAAAATGAAAATTTTGGGTGGGATATAGGAAATTAGTACTTGCTTACAACTTCGGCTACCTCTAACAAAAATAGAATTATCTTTCTGATATTTAAAAAAAGAAAAAATGATCAAATACCAAATCTATTCTGGACTGGACTATCAAGTCATGTAGATTTTGATCTGTCTCCAAATTAGAAGTCTGAAAGCTCTTCTTGGATAAAATATATGTGTAAATATCAACGTTCTAAACTGCAGAAAGGTCATTCCTCTTGTATTTTATTGTTTAAGTCTAGAACAAATGGCAAGCTCCTGCAAGGTAAACCTGGAAGGAGACACCAGCAGCTTTTTGAGCTAAAGCCAAAGACATGGCCTTACAATGAAGTCACCAACATCAAAAATGTCAGGTAATTGGGAGATGCAGCCCAGGATTTGCTTTTGCTCTGGTAAATATTTTCAGATTCAATTTGACCACATTTTCTCATTCAAATACTATCCAGGGACCTCTTTCTCTACTCAGAGTGCTTCTGTTCTGCAGACCAACTGTGCAGAGATTAAAATCTCCTAGAATCATAGAATTCTTTGGAATTATTTTTTTTTCAGTTGCTCATAACATTTTTCCAATCCAAGCCCCTCTGTGAGTCTATGGTTCTAAGATATTCCTTGTATTTTCATATCTTTTTATGCAGTCTAATCTATAACAATTATTTCTGGAAATTTCCATTGTTGCACAGTTGGGGCAGCAATTGGAATTTACCCCAACAACTCTTCCATCATCTTGCCTGGATGCCAAGAGCAAGGGATACATTTTCATTTTCTGGATGATTTCTAAGCACAGAGATGGTAAAATTCATTAAGACATGGAATATTTATTTTACATGACTTATCCAAGTCTTATTTAAAAGAAAAGAAAAAAAAAAAAGGTTGTCCCCCTTTTTTTTAACGTTATGTTTTGAGAAATGAACCAACTTGTTTAGTGGAGTCAGAAAAATAATTTAGTAAATAATTAGTCTGGGAGAGAGAAATCACATTACCCTCCCCCTGCAACAGTTCTCAATGTTTATAGGGAACTAATTTAATTGCAAATGAAGACAAATTTCTATTTCAGTCTCCATAAGTAATTACATTTTACTTGTCCTGACTCCAGTCCTGGTTGTTTGCTCGCTGGACAAAGGGATTTTCTCTAGCACTGCTCTGCTAGAACATCTCAGGTGCTTTCCTTTTGTGCTGACTGAGGGAGAAGGGATGGATCCAGCTGATCCAGGATGAGTTTCCCAATGCAACACCAAGCCCGAGGCATTGTCTAACAGAGTCTGGGAATGGGGAATGAAACCATGGAAATAAGAAAGTGCTAAAACATCTGAGAAAGCCTGAAATAAAAAGTAGTAACTGCAGTGGGGGGGAAAAATATAATGTATCAAATGATGTGAAATCCATGAGGGAAAAGCGAGGATGTGGAGAAATACACATTTTCTGTCAGTGAGCCTACAAGGGCAGCTTAAGGAAGATGCAGTCTCGCAATTTTTGAGTGGAAAGCAAAAAAAAAATATTGCATAGCCAGCACAAGGCGTGAGCCCAAGGGCCGGCAGAGCTGTTGCTGCTGGTCTTTTCTTCTGGAAGATAAATGGGCTTTGCACTGCGGGGCTGCTGCTTGGGTGAGTCCTTTTGGGCAGGGTGACACCCTGAACTCCAATCCCAAACATTCACTGCCTCCAGTCAGGAACGGCTGGAATCAACATGTGGAGGAAATGTTTAAAATTGATTTCACATAATCAATTTAGATTGAAAAAGACCTCTGAGGCCGAGTCGGACCTATGACCCGACACGGCCATATCAACCTGACCATGGCACCTGGGGGATTCTGGATTCCCATTAATTCCTTCAGTTGCTCCACAGCGAAATATTTCCTGAGTGCTGATAAGAAACAGAGGACAGAGTCTTAAGCTGCAGCCAGTGGAGGTTTATGTTGGGCATTAGGAGGAATTTCTTCACAGAAAGGGTGATTAGACATTGGAAGGGGCTGCCCAGGGAGGTTTGGAGTGTCCATCCCTGGAGGTGTCCAAGGAAGGAATTCCTGGATGTGGCACTCAGGGCTCTGGGCTGGGGACAAGGCGGGGATGGGGCACAGCTGGGACTGGATGGGCTGAGAGGCATTTTCCCCTCAGTGACCCTTTCATCTGCCACAAACCGGTGTTCCCCACAGCTGCTGCCTGGCCATGTGCCACCGCAAGGAGATTTTTTGAGGGATGACTCCCACAGGAACCTGCGATGTCCATACACCTCGCAGCAGGCTCTATGTGCAGCCAAGGGGAGGATGCTCCGGTGGTAACGCTCTGCGCGTTACCTCCGGCAACCCAGCCGCATGTTTGGCTCGGGGAAGGTCGCGGGGTGCCGAGGGGCCCGGGAGCCGTGTGGGCAGGGAAGGAGCAGCCCGGGACAACCCGGGAAAGCCCGGGACAGCCCGGGACAGTCCCGAGGGTCCCGCGGGTGCCGCCCTGAGGGGCCGGGACGGGAGGCGCCCCCTTGCGCCCGCCCTGCGCGCAGCGCCCCGCGGCACCGATGACATCACCGCTCTGCGCAAAGAGCCGCCCGCCGATTGGCGGAAGGCAGGAAAGAATCTAGCCAATGAGCGGCGCGCAGGGCGGCAGGCCGCGCTGACGTGCTGCTCGGCCGTGCGGGGGTTTATTTTGCTTTGGGCCGCTCCGGCCGCCGCCATTAGAGGAGCGCGGGCAGAGCCTCCCCCCCCCCCCCCCGAGGCGCGGGGCGCAGGCGGCTCCCAGTGCTCCGAGCGTGTTCCTGAGGGACTGAGGGACGGATCCCGGCGGAGAGGTAAAGCCCCCGTGCTCTCACTGCCCTCCTCGGGCAGCGCTGCAAGACGAGGGGGCGCGGGGGAAACGGGGGCGAGCTGAGCCGGAGCCGACCGGGGACCCGCTGCGGGGTCGGGGGGGCTGTGAGGAGGCGCCTCCGGCGCGGCCCCGCGTCCCGCTGCGATCGGTGTCCCGCATGGAACGGTTTGCTGAGGGCAGGCAGGCTGGCACAGCCTCCGTACAAAGGCAGGAAACTCGGATTTTTTTTCTCCCGTGGCTGCTGCTCCGGACCCCGGGCTGTGGTGCCTCAGTGTGCCTGGTGAGATCATGCCTGTGCTGCCTCCTCCCGCTGCTTCCCACCCTCCTGCTTTGATTTTGTTCGCGGTCGGATGTGCCTGTGTGGATCTGCACGCGGTGGTGGAGTAGGTGATGGGAGTGATGGGTTGTGTCTGTGGATTTTGGGTAGCAGAACTTCCATGATGTTGCCTATCCCATCCTGGGAAGTGTCCACGGCCAGGTTGGACAGGGCTTGGAGCAACCTGGGATAGTGGAAGGTGTCCCTGCCCGTAGCAGGAGGTTGGAACAAGATGATCCTTAAGGTCCCTTCCAGCCCAAACCACTCCGTGATTCATTCTGCGATCACCTATTGTCGAGGCTTTATCAGAAGTAAAGCGCAGTGTGAGAAGTATTTCAAAATCGATCTCGTCTTTGGGAACCGAAGTCCAAACAGAAATTAGGAAAGTTGGATTAAGGAGCGAGGCAGACCTTGGCAATCCACGCTGCCAGCGCCTCCCTGTCTGCCCTCACGGTCCCAGACTGCAGCAGCTTCCTGGCAGGATAAGATAAACTTGTCTGCGGAGGTCATGGATGTGTCTGTGAGTCCTTCGGATGTGTCTGTGAGTCCTTCCTTGGGAGTGACAGGATCAGCCTGTCCCCACAGCAGTCACCGCTCCCTTGGGAGGAGCGGCGGGTGGCAGAAATGATGGAGAGGATGGATCCGGGTGTCCTGCACGGCTGGCACAGCCCGGCTGCTGAGAACTTTCTGCTGCCACGGTGACTTTCAGCCATGGCAATAATGACAACTTTTTCTGGAATTCTTGGGGGTTGATGTAGTAAACAAACGTTGTTTGACGGGCTTTGTGCTGTGCTTGAACAGTCTCTGCTCACCAGCTGCCTGCGGTGTCACAAGTGGTGGAGCTGGCATGTGAGTTGAGTGCTTTGATGCGTTTGTTGGGGCAAAAATTGAAAGGTGAGATGCCTTCTGTGTAGTAACTCCCTCTTTCTCTTCTTAGAGCTCACTCTGTTGTGAGCAGAACCTTTTTAACAGTGGTTCAGGAGAGATCTGTTGTAATCAGTTTTGTTTTTCCATCTGCTTATCGGTCTCACAGAAGAGATTTGTGAGGCTTATTTCTTATTTATTTGTGAGGTTTATTTATTTTTCAGTAGTTATTCAGACAGGGGGATGCAGGTGAGCAGCAGGAGGTGTTCTGGAACTCTTTTGTTGCTTCCTTCTGAAGGCCAGGCTGAGTTGTGGAGGCTGGCATATCATGTATGAAGGATCACCTCTGTCACAGCATTCAAAGAGAATAAAGCCTTTGGATGCGTTGCATTTTGTGGGATTTATGAAACTGTAATTATGTGGGGTAGTTCTCTTGAAGGAAAAAGAAATTGCTACCTTTACTTTCCTTGTGCTGCTTAAGCAAGGGCAGGCAGGTGGGGGTGACACTGGTGAGGCTGTCATCTGTTCGTCAGGAGCTGTGTCTATTAGCATTCTCTCAGAAGTATAATTACAAATATTAATGTAATTGGAATGCTGAGTGGCACAAAAGCATCAACGGGGTTCATCACAGAAGCGTGACTTTAATTGGGGACTAATTCCAGCTCAGAATGGGTCAAGGGGACATTTTTAGCTTTGTGTGTGGCCGTTCCCACTGTGTGTTGTTTGACCTGTAAATTCCTCAGGGACAGGAATTCCCACCCATCTTTGCTGCCCTTTGCAAGAAGGATCTGTAAATAAGTGTAAGTAGGAAATACTTTACTGATTGAATGGGAGGTTATTTTTAATACAGTCAATCAAATAATCAAATGTTCTCTCAGGCACTTTAAAGTGAGATTTACTGGCTCCTTCATGTGGTATTAACTTGGGTGTTAGTTTCTCTTTCCAGCTTCTCTTTGCCATATCAGTTGTAGCACAACTTCAGATCAATACATTCCTTGTCGTGATGTGCTCTCTGCTAATCACAGCAAAGTGTTTAAACTGCTACTGCCAGTTCTCTTAATAATCTCATGCCCTTTCCTCCCCCCAAAATTTGAAGACTGGGTTATTTTGGGCTGTTCAAAATTGATGTCAACAAGTAATCCTCAATTTAATTAGATGAATTACGATCCACAGTCTCCTGGTACTAAAATGGAACTAAACTTTAGTTTGGCAGCTGAAAATGGCTGGTTTAGCTGTAACAGAGGTCTTAATTTTTAATTTTTTTAAAATAGTACTATGTATGAGGAGAGAAACAAGGCAAAGTTGAAAAGAGAATTTATTTTCAACACAGCTGCTGAAGAGTTTGCCATTTTCCTTGTCAGATGGTGTAGCTTGGTTAAATCAGTTTAGTAACATAGATAATTGTAACTTTGTCATGTCAGTTGAATGGAATTTATTACACCTTAAAACGTTTGTCTTCAAATTAAGGTTTCGAGCATTTGGGATCCAGACACTTTGCTGGTGCTTTTCATAGCATTTCTTGTGTAGCTGTCACTGCTTCAGCTTGCACAGGATTGTGACTGTGCTCATTTTTACCTCATCGGTGGCTGGAGCACAGCTGCTCTATGTAGCTAATTTTTTTTGAGCTTTCTTGACATGCAAGATTTATAATTACCTCTTTGGGATCCACTAGTTAACATGCTTAAAAAGAAGAACTGTCGTACTTCAACAACAATTCTGAGAATGTGTTAATCTGTAGTAATATTTAGCATTTTGTGTTTCCTTATTTCGTGGCACAGGCAGGTGTTTGGGAGCTCTGTACTCAAACTGGAGCTGTGTCCATCTGGCGTTTTTCAAAACAACTTTTTTTCCTCTGCTGTTGTCCCATTGATGCAGAAACTCACTTTGGTGAAGACCAGGGAGAGGAGAGGGGTGGAGGGGATGGAGCAGGGAATGAGGGCAGTGATGTTTGAGGAGGGAGCTGTCTTCAAGAGGGGGCTGATACAGAGTCCTTGGTTCAAGAAGGAATAGTAGATTTTTTACAAGGAAAATGGGCAGGTAGTACATTGCAAACCTTGGTAGTGACTGGTGTGTGCAGAGCATCTTGCCTAGGAAGCCGCCACATTTGCAGCCCTTTTGCATTTTCTACTGTACAGGGGATATAATGAAGTTGGCATTTTTCCCTTTGGTTATTTGGGTTTGTCTTGATGTAATCTGTTCTGTTTGTCCTTAAGACAAGGATACTACTGTGTGGATTGTTGTTGGTTTTCTTTTGTTTGTTTATTTTTCATTATGGTCTACTAAGTTGAATTTTTTTTTTTTTTTTTTTTTGTTGGTTTTCTTTTGTTTGTTTATTTTGCATTATGGTCTACTAAGTTGAATGTGTTTTTTTTTTTTTTTTTGCTTAGAATGGCTTGCAAATTTTAAGTTAAGGACAGTTATTACTTCTAAGAAAAATGCTGGAGATGACACAGGATTTAAGATCTTTAAGTTCAGAACTGAGCTGAAAATACCTGAAGTGCTGAGAACAAGGTACAAAATGAAAAGCAGGCATGTAACCTGCTGTCCAGGGAATTTGGGGCTGGAAGGATGGACTTGTGTCTGCTTTGGCACGTGGAAATAGGGCTGTGTAAGTAGGACTTGTGTCTGGAGCTGTGACTTGTGAGCAAGGAGGCTGCAGTCTTCTCCTCTTGCCCTCCCTCACGCTGTGCCAAAAGCCAAGGCACGGTGCTGTTTTATTTGGGTTATGTTTGCCATTTCTTCTGTAATCAAATGTTAAGGTTTCAAAATTCTCCATGTGGTTCTTTGACTTCACTTTGATTTAGCATCTGCTCCTGAGAAGCTGTTTTTAATAAAACAGAGAAAGTTGGGGTTACTGAGGAGTTTGTGGGCATTAAGAAACTTCAGTAAGGTATGTTTGTTTTCTTGGTAACTTCTACATATTGAGGAGTTGGGGTTCCTGAGCTAAAGAAGACTGTCAGAACCATGATTCCTGTGACTCTGGAAGGAAAAATAAACTTGAGTGCTGTTCTTTGTTTGGGGTTTTTTATTGTGTGTGGATTGTTTTTTTTTAGTGTATTAGAAGTATTTTGATGAGTAATCTTTTTTTGACTTTGAATCACACACTTTTATAGATCCACTCATTTAAAAACTCTGTGGTTCTTGGTGCAGTCTTCAATCCTTCAATCTGGAAGAAAAAGATCTGTAATAAGTATCATAAATGTGTATAATTCCTGCAAAAAATAGGAAGTCTGTTTGATGATTGTTGGTTTATGAGAGAATCTTGTTTTTTGTGGTTGTTGGGACCATAAGTGCACTGTGAGAGCTTGACTTGTGGTTAATGGGCTTGAAAGTATTCCTTGAGTCTCCAATCATCTTCCCAGTATCTAAGCAGGGATCTGTAGAGACAGCTGGCATGTTTATTCCTTGCTGTTATTTCAGTACTCCCCTGGAGCAGCCTCAATCTGCAGGTCTTGGGTTCAAGAAGTGTTGATGATCTGCTTTTGGTTTGTGCTGGTTCTCAGTGCCCTGGTGAGTCAGGGGTGTTGTGTCCTGCTGTTGTGTCCTGGACTTGTGCTTGTCACTGACACCGTCTGACAGATGGGCCAGTGGGTTCAGGTTTTACCTGCAAAGGCTTCCCCTTACTGGGTGCCTGCTGAGAAATTCATTTTTATCTTGCTGGAGGGCTGGGATGGGCTGCTGGACTAGTTACTTTTTTATTTTTGACCTCCCCATTGCTGTTTAGCTTTGCAGGGATAAAAAAAAAAAAAAAAAATTCACCTCATGGCTTTTAAAGGGCTTATTTAAATAAGGTTATTCAGTGTTACCTTTAGTAGAAACTTACTCCCACCCCAGAACTTGTTATTACTGCTGTAGAGCTGTTACTCTGAAACTTTCCAGGAGGGCAGAGTACCCTGCAGTGATTAACTCAGAGATATGCACTATGACTAAAATACAGATTACTAATCACATGGTTAAAAAAAAGAACTGATATCAGTGTCTCTAGAAGGAGATTGGATTTGTTTTCCCTGTGGTATTTGACACTAGTTCTTTGGACTGTGTTAAGCAGTAGCATCCACACTAGTGGACTTTGTGTGCTGTGATAATAGCATTTTTGCTAC